TTTGCCTAGCATGCATAAGGCACCGGGTTCGTTCCCCAGGACCACATAAAAAAATTCTAAATAAAGGTATTGTGCCCATCTACAACTAAAAATGTAAAAAAAAAAAAAAAAAAAAAAGGGATTCTAGGACTGTGATTGTGGCTCAGTGGTAGGGTGCTTGCCTAGAGCATGTGAGGCACTGGGTTTGATCCTCAGCACCACATAAAACTAAGTAAATAAAATAAGTTCATTGTTTCCATCTACAACTAAAAGAAAAATACTTTTTTAAAAAAAGAATGGGATTTTAAGGAAAGTCAATTATTTAAAAATATTTTCCCTATTACTCAGCCTTAAAGAAGAATGAAATTATGGCATTTGCAGGTAAATGGATGGAATTAGAGAGTATCAAGGGCTGGGGAATGTGGCTCAAGTGGTAGTGCGCTCACCTGACATGCGTGCGGCCCGGGTTCGATCCTCAGCACCACATACAAACAAAGATGTTGTGTCTGCCAAAAACTAAAGAATAAATATTTAAAAAATTCTTTCTCTCTCCCTCTCTCTCTCTTAAAAAAAGAGAAGAGAGTATCAAGCTGAGTGAAATAAGCCAATCCCAAAAGCCAAATGTTTTCTCTAGTAAGTGGATGCTGGTCCTTAGTGTGTGTCGGGGGTAGAGTGGGAGGAAGAATGAAGGAACTTTCGATTGTGCAGAGGGGAGTGAGGGGAAAGGTGAGGGGGCATTGGGGATGGGAAGGATGGTAGAATGAGAGGGACATTATTACACTGTATACATGTATGATTACACTACTGTGTGACTCATGTCATGGCATCATGTGCAGCCAGAAGAATGCGAAATTGTGCTCTATTTGTGTACAATGTGTCAAAATGCATTCTACTGTCATGTATAACTAATTAGAAAAAAGAAAGAAAGAAAAAAATATTTTCCCAGCTCACCTTCAACATTATTCAGTTTACTTAAGGCTTGAAAAATGTTTTTAATTGTGATAAAGGCAAAATATAAAAATTTCCCTCTAAACCATTTTAAGTGCATCATCTAGTAGTGCAACTATGTTCACATTATTGGGTAATAGATCTCTAGAACTTTTTCATCTTGCAAAACTGAAACTCAATACACACCAAACAACTCTCCCAATTTTTAGTATTATTTCTACTGAGAACACACCAAATAACTCCCCAAAGTTTTAGTGTTATTTATGATGTTCTTTTTTGGGGGGGAGGATCTGTCTTTTTTTAATATTTATTTTTTAATTTTAAGTGGACACAATATATTTTATGTTTATATGGTGCTGAGGATTGAACCCAGTGCCGCATGCATGCTAGGCAAGCGCTGTACAACCGAGCCACAACCCCAGCCCCATTTATGGTGTTCTTAATGCAACTTTTGAAAAGTGTAAATCTATCAACTCACCTAGCACATGTGAGGCACTGGGTTCGAGCCTCAGCACCACATAAAAATAAATAAATAAATAGTCATTGTGTTAATCTACATCTAAAAGAAAAAATACTTTTAAAAAAAGTAAATTTTTTTAATGCCCTTCCTTTTTTGCTTGTTTTGGTTTGGTTTTTCCTTTGAGACAGGGTCTCACTAATTTGCTAAGGATGGCCTCAAACTTGGAATCCTCCTGCCTCAGCCTCCTGAGTTGCTAGGATGACAACTCTTTGTTTAGATCTTCTAAGTCTGGAGTCATACCTCAGAAGACCATCCCCAGTATGCAATTATAAATTAAAAATATCCATATTTCTTCTAGCGGAAAAGAAAAGAAAATGGCTTGGGATATAGATTGGAGGAGGAAAAAAAAGGACTTGAATTGAATAATAGTATAAAAGATAATTTGAAAAAATTAAAGATGTGATGTCTTAGTGTATTTTCTGTGGCTAATAATTGCCTACCACAGACTGGATGACTTAAAAGAGGTTTATTTTGGCTCATGGTTCTGGTAGAAGGTCAAAGGACCACAATAATGGCATTCTTGCTGGCAGAGTTTCAAGAGGTTCAGGACATCACATGGTGAGAGGCAGGGTGTGAGAAACCTAGCCAAACTGGCTTTTTTTCCCACCTTGGGTACTGGGGATTGAACTCAGAGGCACTTGACACTGAGCCATCTCCCCAGCCCTATTTTATATTTTATTTAGAGACAGGGTTTATTTAAAGACACTGAGTTGCTTAGTGCCTTGCCATTGATGGGGCTGGCTTTGAACTTGAAATCCTCCTGTCTCAGCTTCCTGAGCTGCTGGGATTATAAACGTGCACCAAGGTACCTGGCCCAACTGGCTTTTATACCAGATCCTCTCTGGGGATAATCCATTCATCTAGAAGTCCATTAGTCACATGAATGAATCAATCCATTCCTCAGAGCAGAGTACTAATCAAGTCTTAAAGTTTTTCCACCTGGTCTCACCTCTTAAAAAAAATCACAATGAGAATGAAATTTTATCATGAATTTCAGAAGGGACAATTCTTATTCGTACCGTAGAATATGTTACAGGTAAACAGTGTAAGAAGAAATAAAAACAAACTGGGGTGCAGTGCCCCATGCCTCTAATCCCAGCAATTTGGGAGGCTGAGGCAAGAGGATCAAAAGTTTGAGGCTAGTCTCAGCAACTTAGTGAGGCCCTAAACTACTTAATCAGGGCTTGTTTTAAAATTTAAAAATAATTAAAAAGAGCTGGGGATGTAGCTCAGTGGTAAAGTGCCTCTGGATTCAATTCCAAGTACTGGAAAAAGAAAATAGAAAAGAAAAGCAATATAGCCTTTAGAAAAGTTCAAAACTGAAGAATAAACTTATGATTTAAATGAAAAAGACCTTAATGACTGACATATTTATTCTCTTTGGAGTGACACAGGGATTGTGGGATTGAGCTCATGGAGAAAGAAGTCTAGGTCAACCCACTGTTTGGCCTGAGCTGAACCCATATTCACACAGCCATGACAACATATGTGGTCTATTAGATTTCAACTTTAATTTTTTATTTTTATTTTTATTTATTTTTTTAAAGAGAGAGTGAGAGACAACGAGAGAGAGGGAGAGAGAGAGAGAGAATTTTTAATATTTATTTTTTGGTATTTGGCGGACACAACATCTTTGTTTGTATGTGGTGCTGAGGATCGAACCTGGGCCGCATGCATGCCAGAAGAGCGCGCTACCGCTTGAGCCACATCCCCAGCCCTCAACTTTAAATTTTTAAAAATATATTTTATTTATTTTTTGGTTGTAGTTGGACACAATACCTTTATTTTATTTATTTATTTTTATGAGATGCTGAGGATTGAACCCAGGGCCTTGCATATGCTAGGCAAGCACTTTACTGCTGAGCCACAACCTCAGCCCTGATTTCAACTTTTAGAGTCACCCTATAGAAAAACCCAGAAGACATGTTATGGTTGTAACAAAAGATCAGAAATCTTGACTTTTGTAAATGTGAATCCAAGAAGAGGTTGCATGTGAATGTGGGTAGAGAATGAGGAATTATCAACCAGCCTCTTTCACCAGACACATTGATTTTGCTTATACAACTATAGAATTTGCTTATATGACACAAATAATTAAATAAAACATTGGGGCTGGGTTTGTGGCTCAGCAGTAGAGCACTTGCCTAGCATGAGGGAGGTCCTGGGTTTGATCCTCAGCACCACATATAAATAAATAAATTAAATTAAGATAAAAAAAAAATAAAAGCACCAACATTTAAAAAATATATATAAAACATTAATACAAATAGAGTCATCTTTGGGAAGAGGAGAGGAAGACAGAGCGAGTTAAATACCTGATATTTTATGTTGGAAAATCAATATTAACTAAACTCAATAGATAAAGAAATAGAAGGATGAACATTTTAGTGAGGATTTGGAAACAACTTCTAGAAGGTCTAAAAACAAACAGTTAAAGGGGTTGGTTGCCTCTAGGTGCTGAGAAGGCGTGGAGTGGAATGGGATGGGCAGGGGTGAGGCACTGTGTTTGCCCTCATATCTCCACTGCTCTACTCGATTTTTGTTATCAGGTGAATGCAGCATTTTAATTTAGAATAAAGAAAAAACTTGAAAAGCAGGAAGACTTGCTTTTTTTACCTGCCTTCACCAGGCCTGTGATCACACCTTCTGCTAATGGAAAAAACAGGGATTGGACCCTTGGAGACGGCAGATCATCCACAGATTCCATAACTTTGCCTTGAAAAATTAATTCAATACACTTAACCTTTTTGTTCTTGGTTTGCAGCCAAAGTTAAAATTGACTTGCCTTTTTTTTTAGGACACTTATCGTAAATGACTTGGGAAATGTGTAGGAAAAATACAGAGAGGAAATCTGCCAGTATGATTTTTTTCTAGCCTTATATTTTTATTAGTTTTTGGATTTTCTACCATGATCCTGAGAGGAGATAAGACTTTTTGTTTTGTTTTTTTTTTTTTTTTTAGTTTTAGAGACCCTTTTTTTTTTTTTTTTTTTAGTATCTCTGTAGTCTATAAGAGTAGGGACTGTGAGTGCCTTGCTGACCATTATATTCCCAGGACCAGCTGAAGTTTGTTGAATGAATAAATACAGACTAATCCTCCCACTCAGAAGTGACCAATGAATATTAAATGGTGGTTGCAGCCTGGGACTGGACAGCTTGCCAGGAACCAAGGAGGTCCTCAGGATAAGGAAATTTCTTTTTTTCTCCCCCCACCCAGTAATGGGAATTGAATGGAGGGGCACTTTATCACTAAGCTACAACCCCAGACCTTTTAGTTTTTATTTTAAGACAAGATCTCACTAAATTGCCCAAACTGGCCTCAAATATGTGATCCTCCCTCCTCAGACTCTCAAGTAGCTGGGATTACAGGTATGTGCCACCATGCCAGCAGGATGAGGAATTTTTGCGGGGGGCGGGGTTTACTGGGGATTTCATTTAGGGGCACTTGACCACTGAGCCATATCCCAAGCCCTATTTTATATTCATTTAGAGACAGAGTCTCACTGTGTTGCTTAGCACCTTGCCATTACTGGCTCTGAACTCGAGATCCTCCTGCCTCATCCTCCCAAGCTGCTGGGTTTACAGGTATGCACCACCATCTCCTGAAGGATGAGGAACTTTAAATACTTTTCCAAGACAGTTTAGGATCACTTGGTCTCAGGCCCAAAGGAGGACTGCCTGTCACCTCCAAGCCACTGTCCCACTCACTTTTGGTTAAAATTCAAAAGTTTTGATGGACCTTTGTTTTGTTCATTTATTTATATGCAGTGCTGAGAATCAAACCCAATACCTCACACATGCTAGGCAAGTGCTCCACCACTGAGCCACAAAGCCAGTCCCAAATTCAAAAGTTTTATTTAAACTGCAATCAACTAACCAGTCAATCAAACAGCTTACAGCCTGGTCCTGGACCCCTTTCTCTCTTCACTCCCACCTGTCACCAGATCATTATGCACACTTTACCTGCCATCTACTCACTGATGACTCTCCTGTCCTCTTCTCCCCACTGCTGCACTGAAAATGTGCTCCTCCAAAGGCCTCCCTCTTACTAACTCCTGGATACTCCTAAGATACTGACTCCATCTTACTACATCCTCAAAGCCTCTGTCCTTGCTTCTCATTCTCATTCTGAAACCCTCTTTCTTTGGCCTCTATTAGTCTGTTTTCTATTTTCAGACTGTTTTAACAGTTTATTTTGGCTTCCAGTTCTGGAGATGCAGGATTGAGGCATTACATCTGGTGATGGCTTTCTTGCTAGCAGAGTCCCGAGGTGGTGCAGGGCTTCACATGGTGAGAGAGGGCGTGTGCAAGTTTCTGTGCACGTGTGTGAACATGTACGTGTCTCTCCATGTCTCTCTCCTTCTTCTTATAAAATCTCTGAGATTCCATCATGAGGGATTTATCTAATTTTAATCACCTTCTCAAGGCCACTTCCAACACTACAGCAGGATTAGATTCTCACCTACATAATATCTCACAGTAGGAACTAAATTTTAAAACATGAAAACCTTGGAGGACACACTCAGACCACATCCAAACCAGAGCAGCCTCCTACCTCTCTGGGTTTTAGTTTCCCTCAAGTTACTCTAGGAGCACAACTGTGCTATTTTTTTTTTTTAATATTTATCTTTTAGTTTTAGGTGGACACAATATCTTTTTTTTTTAAATATTTATTTATTTTATTTTTTTTTAGTTTTCGGCAGGCACAACATCTTTGTTTGTATGTGGTGCTGAGGATCGAACCTGGGCCGCACGCATGCCAGGCGAGAGTGCTACCGCTTGAGCCACATCCCCAGCCCTGGACACAATATCTTTATTTTACATTTATGTAGTGCTGAAGATCGAACCCAGTGCCTTGCGCACACTAGGCAAGTGCTCTAGCACTAAGCCCCAACCCCAGCCCCAACTGTGCTATTTTCAAAGCTGGTGCATACACTGTTCACCAAGTTTGATATCATAAAAGAGAGTTTAGGTAGAAATTCCATCATTGATCATTAAATGGACTCCAAAGTATTTTAAATTGGGAATATTTTTAGATTTTTTTTTTTGGTACCAGGGATTAAACCCAGGGACACTTAACTACAGAGTTACATGCCCAGCTCTATTTTGTATTCATTTAGAGACAGAGTCTCACCGAGTTGCTTAGCACCATGCCATTGCTGAGGCTGGCTTTGAACTCTCTACCCTCCTGCCTCAGCCTCCCAAACTGCTGGAATGACAGGAGTGCACCACCACGCCTGGCTTAAAGTTACCTTTTTTAATATTTGTGATTAATCACTATTTTGTGGAAAGATATTTTGAAGCTCTGGAAATATCCTGTTTTTCCACAAATTTTCACCTAAAGGTCTTAACATCTATTAATGATTCTTGCCTAATCAATATTACTGTTTCTTTCAAAAGCCTGGTTTTCTAATTCTCCCCTTTTGTTCCACTGGTTTATTTATTTATTTTTTAAAATATATTTTAAAATAAACAATAAAATATATTTTTAGTAGATAGACACAATTTTTGGACTGTTTTAATGGAAAGTTTATTTTGGCTCCCAGTTCTGGAGATGCAGGATTGAGGCATCACATCTGGTGATGGCCTTCTTGCTAGCAGAGTCCAGAGGTGATGCAAGGCTTCATGTGGTGAGAGACAGGGCGTGTGCAAGTTCCTATGCACGTTTATTTATTTAAAACAATTTTTAAGTTTCAAATGGACACAATATTTTTATTTTATTTATTTATTTTTATGTGATGATGAGGATCGAACCCAGTGCCTCACATGTGGTAGGCAAGTGCTCTACTACTGAACCATGATCCCATCCCAATTTATTTACTTATTTATTTATATTTTTTCTGGGGGGTAGTGGGGATTGAACTCAGGGCACTCAACCACTGAGTCATCTCCCAGACCTATTTTGTATTTTATTTAGAGACAGGGTCTCACTGAGTTGCTTAGTGTCTCGCCCTTGCTGAGGCTGGCTTTGAACCCATGATCCTCCTGCCTCAGTCTCAGGAGCCACAGGGATTACAGGCCTGTGCCACCGCAGCTGGCCCAATTTATCTTTGTTTCTATTTTTAGCATAAGTTTGTACTCATATATTTAATATATTTGAAAATATAATTTATTAAGTCATTCTTCTTCTTTTTTTTTACATTTTTTTAGAAGTAGTTAGACACAATACCTTTATTTTATTTATTTTTATGTGGTGCTGAGGATTGAACCCAGGGCCTCACAGGTGCTAATTGAGCGCTCTACTGCTGAGCCACAATCCCAGCCCCTGTTCTTATTTTTGATACTAGAAATTGAAACTACAGGCACTCTATCACCCAGCCTTTTTTCCCTATTGTTTTAATTTTGTTATTAATCTTTTTTATTAGTTATTTTTAGTTATACATGAGTAGAATCTATTTTTATATGGTTATACAAGCATGGAATATATCTTATTCTAATTAGGACCCCATTGTTGTGGATGTACACAACAATGTGTACATCTTTTTATTTTTGAGACAAGACCTCTCTAAGTTGCTGAGGCTGGTTTTTGTGGTTTTCCTGCCTCAGGCCCTCCAAGTCTCTGGGATTATAGGCATGCCCAGCTTTCATTGTCTATTTTATACTCAAATTGTTCTAGATTTGTTCAGTGGGACCCTTTTCCATCTGGTTCCTGTGTTCTCTTTGATTTTTGAGTTCTCTCTCTTCCTGGCACATCTCAGTACTGACCCTGGGATTGGAAGTCATTTCTTGGAGGAACTCTGCTTCCTTTCATGGAGAAGTGTATTTCAAATACAAGAACTGAGATCTAGGTAAACTCCATAGTACTGGACATGCCACTGCTTCTAAGCTCTACAGCAGACAGAGATAGAACATATAAATATTGTACAGACACTTTGGATGATTTATAATTCCTTGATTTTACAATGGTGCAATGCATTCAGTAGAAACGATTTCAATTTTTTTTTGAGAGCCAGATTCTCTTTTATATATATAATTTATTTTTTAGTTTTAGGTGGACACAATGTCTTTATATTTATGTGGTGCTAAGGATCGAACCCAGTGCCTCAAGCATACTAGGCGAGCGCTCTACTACTGAGCCACAACCTCAGCCCCACGATTTCAAATTTTGATTTTTGCTTTTGTTATTGCTGGGGATTGAACTCAGGGGCACTCAACTACTGAGCCACATCCCCAGCCCTATTTTGTATTTTATTTTGAGACAGAGTCTCATTGAGTTGTTTAGGGTCTTGCTAACTTGCTGAGGCTGGCTTTGAACTCTCTATCCTTCTGCCTCAGCCTCTGAAGTTGCTGGGATTATAGGCGTGTGTCACTGCATCCTGTGAATTTTGAATTTTGAATTTGTGTCTTCCCACCCCCACCACGGCCTAGTGATATTTAGCCCCATTCTCTCCTAGTCAGCCCTGTGATCACCATGCCATTACCAGGGAAAACACTGTCCACAGCTAGGTTGCTGAGCTAGACATCCAATAGGATAGGTAGATTCAGTGTTTCAACTGACAACATTTTTCATTTACTGTGAGTTTATTTGGATTGAGGAATACCATTGTATATCAAAGAGTCTGTGTGATAGATTCATAATATCACTTCTAATTAATTCAGCACCACAAAGTCCTGCCTCATCTCCTCCCCTTCCACAATGGTATCCAACCTGCCCCCACTGTGTTATTCTCAATCACAACATCATGTGTTTCTTTCATTGTGTTATCACAGTTTATATTTATTATTCACCTCCCTCCCAATATTATCCAGCTCCATGAGCACAGGGGCTATGTGTGGACCATCTCTCCAGGCCATACTCCATGTCTGGCATACAATAAGGACTTAATTAATTAATTAATTCTTCTTCTTTTTTTTATTATTATTATTATTTGCAGTGCTGGGGATCAAACCCAGGGCCGTGTATCTTCTAATGTTATCATCTGCTCAATCATCTGACTCTCCTATTGTCAGCTTTCCAGGAACAAGGACTGATCATTCATCTTTGTTCCTGAGAACCTCGCTAATGCCTCACATAGTAAGTATTCAGTAAGTATGTTGCATGAAAAAGTGAGTGGTTTTGCTCAAATGTCACAACCAGGAAGTGGAGGCATCAAAATTCAAACCTCCAGTCTTCAAAGTGACTTCCTTCTTCCCCATATGCTCCAGTAACCCCTGGAGGAGGAAAAGAAGACCTAGTCCTGAAGACTGGGACGGACTTGATAGCAGAGGGGGGGTGTCAGCATCCCAAGGCTGGATGGACAATCATGAGCATGAATTTCACTTGGTTCTTTGCCTTCTCTATTTCAGAGTTTTCTGGACTACAAGTTTTCTACTTTTCTTCCCAATTCTGCATCTATTTCATAGTTGCTTCCAGGTAAAACTCAGCCCAGGGCAGACATGAAGTGACAGGAAGGGGCCAGGCTCCCTGGTGAATGTGCACTGGTCACCCCCAGGCATGGCCTTCAGCCTGTGGCTCTCACCTGTCTGTGCTGGTGATATGATGCTTGGCCTACTGGATAATATGATCAATCTTTTGGATAATATGATCGATCTAGTTTGGCCCTCAGCTCTCAGCATCTCTCAGGTTTGGCCTTGAGATTCAGCTTGACTCAGTTCTGCCTTTGCAGCGATGGGTCAGACCATCTGGTGTCCCTCCAAGCAGAAGAGAAGGGGACAAAAGCAAACACAAGGACTGACACCTCAATGACAGCTGCCTCAGACCTTTTTGAGAAATCAAGTGTAAATGCACAAATCAATAAAAAAGAAAACATTTTGTCTGTCAAATGCCATTAACCCTTTCACCAGTGATGAATTGGGAAACAGGAAATCACACATTTGTGAGCTTTCTCCTACTATAACAAAACATCTGAGATAAATTAACTTTTAAGGAGGAAAGTTTTATTGTGGCTCACAGTTTCAGAAGTTCCAATTCATGGTCACTTGGCCCCATTGCCTTTGGGCTTGTAGTGAGGCAGAACATTGTGGTGGGGACAATGTGGCGGCTAAAGCTGCTGGCTTCATGGTGGCCAGGAAACAGAGATAAGAAGAAGAAAGCTGGGTTCTCCAAATCCCCTTCACTGGACACACCCCCAGTGACCCAACTTCGTCTAGTAAGTCCCAGTTCCTAAAATTTCCACAACCTCCTAATACCACCAAAGGCTATGAATCAAGACTTTGACACATGAGCTTTTGGGAGACATTTAAGATCCAAACTACAGCACCTGGATTCTGATCCCCACTGGCTTCTGGCTTTGGAAGGACCTTGAGTAGGCCACTGAGATCCCTGACTATCAAGTGGGAAAATGGGCTGAAAAGAAAGCAAGTCTAGGGGTAGGAATTCTGAAGGAGTAGAATGTTAGATGCTGTAAACATTAAAACTGTGTGTTTTTCAGGCTGGGGTTGGGGCTCAGTGGTAGAGCACTTGCTTAGCTTTGCATGAGGCACTGGGTTCGATTCTCAGGACCACATACAAATATATGAATAAAATAAAAGTCCACTGATTTTTTTTTAAAACTGTCTGTTTTTCCACTGTAGAACTGTTTGTGATACAAAATATTGACCAAAACTTAATGTGTGCATACAACCACTGAAGGAGCAAATTGAAAGATATATTGTTAAGTGGGAAAAAAACAAAATGTAAAACATATGTATATGTCTTATATATGTACAGCCTATATTTCTGGAAAGAAATATAAGAAACCAGAAAACTGTGTGAAGGGAATTGGATATCTGTGGGTCTGGTGAGAGGGAAAATTTTGTCTTGCACTCTTATTCACACATGCATGTGTCTCATGTTATGATAAATAAATAGATAAATGTTTTGCAAAGAAGAAGGGAATTATCCAAATTTTTGAATGTGAATTTCCAGATTCCTGCCCAGAGCCTAAGGGAACCTCAGCATTCCCAGCATGCCTCCCACTGCTGGCCCAGCACCATCTCTAGCCAATTGTGTTGCTTTTCTGCCCTGGAAGCTCCCTCATCCCCATTCAACATTCTTCCTTCTCCCAAGAGGCAAAAGATAAGACTTCTAATTTGCTGCATGGGCACATTCTTTTTCCAATTGTGAGTTTAAAATAACACTATTCATGTACTTTGGGTACATGAACCCAGGGGTGCTTTACCACTGAACCACATCCCCAGCCCTTTTAAAAATTTTTTTTGGGGGTGGGAATGTAGCTCAGTTGGTAGAGTGCTTGCTGCCTATGTACAAGACCCTTGGTTCAATCCCCAGTACCACCAAAAAAGAAAATTTTTTTTTTTTGTAGTTGTAGATGAACAAGCATGCCTTTATTTATTTTGTTTTCTTTAAAGCCTCACTTTTTCTTTGTACCTTTATTTATTTATTATGTGGTGCTGAGGATCAAACCCAGTGCCTCACATGCTAGGCAAGTACTTTGCCACTGAGCCACAACCCCAGCCTCATCCCCAGCCCTTTTTTATTTTTTATTTTGAGACAACCATCTCACTAAGTTGCTGAGGTAGGCCTGGAATTTGTGATCCTCCTGCCTCAACATCCTAAACTGTTGGGATTACAGGTGTTCGTCACCATGCCTGACAAATAACAGGCATATATATATATATATTTAGAGAGAGAGAGAGAGAGAGAATTTTTTTTTGAATTTTTTAATATTTATTTTTTCGTTTTCGGCAGACACAAAATCTTTGTTTGTTTGTGGTGCTGAGGATCGAACCCGGGCCGCACGCATGCCAGGCAAGCGGGCTACTGCTTGAGCTACATCCCCAGCTCCATAACAGTATATTTTTAAAATATTTTTTTTTAGTTGTAGATGGACCCAATATCTTTATTTATTTATTTTTATGTGGTGCTGAGATTCAAACCCAGTATCTCACATATGCAAGGCAAGTGATCTACCACTGAGCTAATAATGCCATTTCTTAAAATCTCTTATTTTATTTATTTATTTATATGCGGTGCTGAAGATCAAACCCAGGGCCTCACACGTGTCAGGCAAGTGCTCTACTACTGAGCCACAACTCCTGCCCCAACACTATTCTTTTAAAATAGTTTTTTAGTTGTAGATGGACACAATACCTTTATTTTATTCATTTATTTTTATGTGGTGCTGACGATAGAACCCAGGGTCTCACAATACTTTCATTTATTTATTTATTTTGTTTTATTTTTATGCTGAGAATCATACCCAGTGCCTCACATATGCTAGGCAAGTGCCCTACCACTGAGCTACAATCTCAGCCCAAATAACACTAAGGAGAAAATAAAAAGACACAGGGAGTTCTTTTGCAGGTTTTATATACCTAAAAATTATTTTTTTAGTACAATTCGTATTTTGGGGCTAACGGTTTTCTTGGGTTTGCTTTATTTCCTCCTAGATTCGGGATTTTCTGAAAAACCCTTTCCAGAGGGGATGAATAAATCAACATTAAGATGGAAGTAAGACTTTTTTTTTTTTTTGAGAGAGAGAGAGAGAGAATTTTTAATATTTATTTTTTAGTTTTCGGTGGACACAACATCTTCGTTGGTATGTGGTGCTGAGAATCGAACCCGTGCTGCACGCATGCCAGGCGAGCGCGCTACCGCTTGAGCCACATCCCCAGCCCAAGACTTCTTAATCATGTCTGAAAATAAAGGGGAAATTAAAGTGTGAGTTTTCAAAACCAACTTTGATTCATATCTCTCTCTCTCTCTCTCTCTCTCTCCCTCTCTCTCCCTGTATATATAGAGAGAGAGAGGGAGAGAGAAAGAGAGAGAGATAATGCATACCTGTACTCATCTTTCTCTCTACAAGAGCCTTGTAAAAATTTATATATATATATATATATTTTTTTTTTTTTCACTGCCAAAATATGAACAGTATACTCTGGTCTGATTGAGTTGAAGAGTTCAATCACGAGCAACTTCAGATGGAGCATATGTCTGCTTGGGTCAGGGTCACCACTGTGTGCCTAGGGCCCATGCAGTTTCTGGCCCATGGAGGAGTCCAGGGTCTGCTGAATGAGAAGCCCACATGCACTCACCTCTCCTGGTGTTGGTATCCAGGTCTCATGTTTTGCTTTGAGACAGGGACTCACTATGTTGTCCAGGCTGTCCTCAAACTCCTGGGTTCAAGTGATCCTCCTACTTCAGCTCCCAAGTAGTTGGGATTACAGGTGTGTACAACCCTGCTGGCTTCAATTCTGTATTTTTGAACTTCTTTGTTTTAGTTTATGTCTTCATAGTTCCATATTTTCACTTAAAGAAAACATTGCTTTTGTGTTTTATCTTCTCTGATTCTTTAAACAAACAAGCTTGGACCAATGAGGGCTGTTATCTTCATGTTACAGGGGGGGAACTGCTTACTGATCCTCCTCTATCCCAGGCATCATGCTTGATACTGTTAGTATACAACATTATTTATCTACTTATTTTGTGGTACTGGGGATTGAAACTGGTGCCTCACACATGCTGGGCAAGTGCTCTATGGCTGAGCTACACTCCAGTTCAATAGTATTCTTTAATCCTTACAACAAACCTCTGTAGTGATATTGTGATCCCCAATTAATAGATGAAAACATCTAGATTCAGAGAAGTAAAGCAAGTGCAAACAAAGGAAATTAGTCAAAGACCTAGAGCCCGAGTCCCTATTTCTGTCTGAAAGTCAGTTTTTCATTGCTGTGACAAAGTACCCAAGGGAAAAAAAAAAAAGAAAAAAGGAGAAAGAGAGGCTGAGGATATAGCTCAGTGGCAGAGAACTTGCCTAGCTTGATCAAGGCCCTGGGTTGAAACCCCAGCCCTGGAAAAAGATATATTTATTTAAGGGGAAAAAAAAAAAAAGCTTAAAATCAGAAAAATTTATTTTGGCTCACAGTTCCAGAGATTTCAATTCATGTTTGTTGGGCTTAGTGGCTTTGGGGCCAGTAGTGAAGCAATCCATCATGGCAGAAGTCTGTGGAGGAGGAAAATTGCTCACCTCATGGTGGCCAGGAAATGAACAAAAAGAGAGAGGGGCCAGGGACAAAATATACCTTCAAAGGTATGCCCCCAGGGCTGTGGATGTGGCTCAAGCGGTAGCGCCCTCGCCTGGCATGCGTGCAGCCTGGGTTGGATCCTCAGCACCACATACAAAGATGTTGTGTCCGCTGAAAACTAAAAAATAAATATTAAAACTCTTTCTCTCTCTCTCTCTCTCTCTCTCTCTTAAAAAAAAAAAAAAAAGTATGCCCCCAGTGACCCACTTCTTCCAATTAAGCTCCACCTCCTAAAGTTTTCATCACCTCCCATTAGTGCCACCATCTGGCACCAGATCTTCAACACATGTGCTTTGGGGGACATTTAAAATCCAAACCATAACACTTGCTTTTTCTGCAACAAGTGGATCCTTGGAGCTCTAGGGCAAAATTGAGGGCACAGGTAAGTCATCAAGAGGGTAATCACCCAGAGTAATGGACCTGGTTTGCATGTCCTAGAGTTTCTGACCTGGAGGTCTGGGACTGCAATTTGCATTCTAGGTGACAGTGCTGCTGCAGTCCAGGCCCTCTGCTCCAGAACCTGCATTCCAGGTATCTGATCTCATCATCTCAGACTCCTGCTGGAACCTGGCCAAACAAGCCCTTCCCCACCTTCACTCCCCGACACACCCCTGCCAGGCAGAGCTGGGCCTAAGGCTGACCGGTAGCTGAGCAGAATTTAGGGCCTCCAGCTCTGCATCGAACCCTTGTCTTGGGCTGAGTTAGGGTTTTTAATTGGAAGCAACAGAAACTAACCCTGGTATATTTCAACAGAAAAGGAGTTTATTGGAGGGCCATAGGTAGCTCCTAAAATTTCCAGGAAGCAAGCTGAGTTGAGGCCACTGCGGTGTGGACATGGGCCAAAGCTCATTGTAGAGCTGGCCGGGTGAGGACATGCCTGCCTCAGGCCCTGCTGGACACAAACTCATGGCAGGGACAGCTAGCACCACTGGGCCCCAGATGCTGGAGGCCGCTGCCACCCCCAGGATGGATGCTCTTCTTTCTGCTTCCTTGTTTGCCTCACTAGCCCTCAAACTAAAGTGGGAGGAGCCACTAGTCCTCCTGGATCATTCTGGGCCAAGAACCCCCCATCAGATGTAAGGTAAAGTGAGCCTCTGGCTTTAGGGCCTCTATAAAGGGCGGAATGTCTACCTCCTACTAAGGTAGGATGGAAGAAATTGAAGACTAGATAGCAAGGAGACATAAAATAAGGACAAGGAAGACTGGAGTTGTGGCTCAGTGGTAGAGCTGCTTATCTAGTATGTGCAAGGCCCTGGGTTCGATCCTCAGCACCACATAAAAATAAATAAGTAAAGTCAAGGTATTGTGTCCAACTACAAATAAAAAGTAAGATATTTAAAAACAAATAAGGACAAGGAAATATGATTTTATTTATTTTTTTAAAAAAGAGAGAGAATTTTAAAATATTTATTGTTTAGTTTTCGGTGGATACAGCATCTTTATTTTATTTTTATGTGTCGGTGAGGATCGAACCCAGAGCCCCGTGCATGCCAGGCGAGTGTGCTATCGCTTGAGCAACAGCCCAGCCCAATTTTATTTTAAAGTTTTACATATGCTGGGTGCAGTGGGGCAAGCCTCTAACCCCAGCGACTCATGAAGCTGAGGCATGAGGAACCCATGTTCAAGGTCAGCCTCAGCAACTTAGACCCTATATCAAAATTAAAAAATAAAAAGAACTGGGCTTGTAGCTCAGTGAGCCCCTGGGGTTCATTCTCTAATCAACACACAAACACACATACTCACACAAGTTCCACATACTCTTCCAGATCTG